TAGTATGTGCCCGCCACTGTGCTAAGTGCTTTACAAATATAATCTCAAGTGATCCTCACAACAGCCCTGAGATGTTGGTGTTATTAGTATCCCTATTTTAAAGATGAGGAAACTGAGGTCACATAGCTAGTAAGTGAATGAGGCTAGATTTGAACTCAGGTCTTCCTTACTTAAGGTCTAGTACTCTATCTACTGTGCCACCTACCTGCTCCCACATCAGAAAAGAGCTTGGGAAGAAGGAAGTATAATCTCTAAAAGTGTGGCTATTTGGATAAATATTTATTGATTTAAAGCCAATGGGGTTTAATAGGGCAGGTGGATTGTAAAATGGGTCCAGAAATGTAAACTCAAAATTCAGAGTTGCTTTTCATGTTTAGTATGCACTAAAACATGAACATTTTCAAGAGAGGCATATTGTTATAATGGGAAAACCACTGGATATGGAGTTGGGAGATTTGGTTGAGTATTGGCCCTCATACTTAGGCTCTAGTATCTGAATAACACAGGACAACTTCTCAGCATATCAGTTTCCTTATCCATAAAATGGCCATGAAAACGGCCCCGGAAAACAGAACTAAGACCTGTGGATGGATTTGCATAGAGGTATATTTCAACTCAATATGGGGAAAGACTTCAGAACAATTAGAGTTATCCCCAAATGGAATAGAACTGACTCAGGAAGTAATTGGTTCCCAGATATTAGAGATCTCCAAGGAGAGTTTGGGTGACTATGGGTTAGGAACAGGAATGGGCTAGAGCCAGCTCTTATGACTATTGTTAAATTTTCATCATAAAACATTTGCACCTCAGAAATCCACAAACACTGTACAAATCACGACGACTTGTTGTTTTGTTGATTGTCTAGACTTAAGAGACTAATGGAAAAATGTCATTAATACAAATTAAAGGAATTTTTTTTTTAGCATGCCAATTGTTAAACATTTACTGGCACACTCCAATTAGAGATATTTTAGAGGGAATTCATACTTAAAAATTGGACCTCTGAGGTCCCTTCTAATTCTGGAGTTTTATGATTCTATTTGTACCTCACAGAGTTGTCATGAAGAAAGCATGTTATTGAACAGTAAAGTTATTATATAAAAGGAACTCTTATGAATAGAAGCCTGAACAGTAATGTCAAGTAGATTGTGTTCCACCTAAACATACCAGAACTTTGAACCTCACTGAAAATCCTGATTCATTTAGTGAATGAATGTGTAAGTGAACAATACATTTACACTTGTCATAAAAAGGTGTTATGGCAGCCTTTAACGTGCAATATAAATTGAACAGGAAATGAACATTCTATTGTTCAGAAAAAAATTAGCCTATTCTGAGAAATGAGTAGTTCCTTCCTCCTCTCTACCTGTAGGTATAAAAATAAGCACAATCTTTGAATGCCGGCAATTTTAGCACCAGCACAGGTGGTGCTTTAATTTGGAACAACTTTGAAGGAAAAAAAAAACACTTAATTACTTTCTTTTTTTTAGCATTCATTTTTTTAAAAATTTGAGTTCCAAATTCTCTTGCTCCCTTCTGTCCCTCCCCCACCCATTGGAAAGCAATATGATACCCATTATACATGTGAAGTCATGCAAAATATATTTCTATATTAGCCATGTTGCAAAAAAAGGAAGGAAAATAAAGTACGAAAAGATATTCTTCAATCTGTACTCAGAGTTCATCAGTTCTCTCTCTGGGAGTGGATAGCATTTTTCGTCATGAATCCTTTGGATTTGTTGTGGATCATTATATTAATCAGAGTAGCTAAGCCTTTCGTAGTTGACCATCATTACAATATTGCTGTTACTATGCACAGTGTTCTCTTGGTTCTGCTCAAAAATCAACTTTCAAGAAACAAACCAGCCCCATAGGCCCACTTGTATAGCCACTGCCACTTGCACCCAGGGGAGGCTTTCATCTAGGAGGAGTGTTCACCTTCAAAATCCGAAGAGCTAAGTGTCCACACTTGCCTGAGTATTCTGCTGTTCTAGTAATAGACACAACCTGAGATGTCAACATTTCCTGGGTTTCCCAGGAAGCCCCAAATAAGTGGATTAGGTTGAGTGAAGAGGACCACGCAGTGATCAGATGTGGAGATTCTACCACCATCTCTTCCCTTATTTCTGCTCCCCATCTTGCACTGGTGATGCCTTGGTGAATATTAATAAAATGTGTAGTTTTTGAGGAGCAAAGTTTTGTGGAGAGGTAGCATGGTATTATGGAAGATGCAGGGATTTGGAGTCAGAGGCTCTGGGGCTCCAATCCTGGTTCTTCCACTTAGTAGCTGTATGACCCTGGACAAGGCACTTTATTCCTCTAGGCCTCAATCTCCTCATCTATAAAATGAGAGTGTTGGGCCTAAAAGGTCCCTTCCAGCTCTACATGTATGATCCTAAGATTTAACTGACACCTTTACAGGCATATCACTAGAGAAGGTAAAGGGGTAATCAGGTCCAATTCTTCATGGAAGAATTCCCTGAGAATCATTGCTGAAGAGATGAAAAATGAAAGGAGAATGAAGATGTGGTTCGCTGACCTTTAACCTTAAATAATACTTCTTTAGGATAAGAAATCTAGATGAAAATAGTAAATTATCTGTTATCTAATCATTTGTCTTCTATTACACCAACTATGGATATTTGGAAACCTTTAAATTTTTAACCCTTTTCATCCAGACGTTTGACATGTTGTAGATATGGACCAACACCAAATGATCAGGCAGATGGATCTGGAGAAAAAGACGTCTTCCACCTTTGACCAGAGGGAACTCATCCCTTATATTTGAAAGACCAAAGAACTGAAAACAAATTGATTTTTTTGCCTGGATTTGATATGAGTCATACGATCATAGATTTAGAGCTGAAAGGTCATTAAGTTCAACTCATTTTACAGATAGGGAAACTGAGGTACAGAGAGGTTACACGACCTGCCCAATAAGTGTTGGAGGCAGGATTATGAACTTGTTTCTTCCTCAGTCCTGGTTCAGTGCCCTCTCCTTTATGCCATAATACTTCTCCTTCAATAAAAAGCTTGGTTCTTCTGGGGTTGCCTCTGTTTTCTCAATATCCTTGTGAGAGAATGGGTGCCTGTGGAGATACTTTTTCAAAAGGAAGTCAAATGAATTATCTTCCTTTCTCGCAAGTCCCTTTTCAGGACAAACTGCCTCCTAGAAAATTTAGCATCCTTATTAATAAAAGTGGATGAATTCACCAGGCGTGTGAGTTTCATATTCTAAATTGCTAATGCGATTAAGCAGCTTCACTCACCAATGTTGAATAATCCCCTGGGGGTTCCTACCTATGTAGATAACATCAATGCTATCTGTGGACTGTCCATGAATTTCCAAGTTCCAGTGTGGGAAAAAGGAGTGTATATGTCCTTTCCTTTTAAACCAATCAAAGGCATTCTCCTGTGATCTCCTCAGAGAAACTCTGTCTCCGTTTCTATTTCTCAAATCTTTCTCATTCATATTAACTTTCCCCTTGGGACCAATCAGATCTAGAAAGAAACAGAAGAATCTTCAGGGGAGGAATTTGAAGTTTCCAAACCATAATTGATTCATAGGAAACTCTAACCATCATTAACAAGAGTTGAAGATGGAGAGAATAAAAATGCTTCCCTTCTCTACTTTGACCTGGTCCCCTGTCCATCTATTGTTTTTAATCAGGGAGAGATGGAACAAAAGGGAAAAAGAAATCAGATGGGACATTGGGAGGTGAAAGAAAGAAAGATGTCCTTGGTTTGTGTTAGCTCTGAAGTAATGGAACAGTATTTAAATTAAATTTTTTTTAAAAAACCTTGGAAAAAAATTAAAACCTTGGAGTTTCCCTTCCATTTTCTGTTTGCTCAGGACTCCACAGATGCTCCTGCTTTCTCTTTTGTCTACCTTTGGCATAATCAATCCTGAACTTTCGCAGGGGTAATGTTCCTAGAAAATGGCATAAAAGTAAAAAATGCAAGTATTATTATATTGAACCTATGGGAAATAGGGTGGTAGGTTCCCACAACAACCAAAAACTGTAATCTTTTGCTAGAGATTGCTGAAAACATACTTTTCTGCATAACAAAACATTAATTTATAACTTTATAACAAAACATTGATTCTGAAAATGTGCACTTTTTCTAACACAGTAACTGTGAACTAACCCATAAAACACAGTCCACAAAATAAAACTGGTAACATGCAAAACATTTTTTCTCACTAATAATTCCCTAGAATTCTGTAACCTTTTGTGCTAACATCTCAATAAAAAAAAACACATTGATTTCAGACAATATTCATTTTTCATAATGCATTAAATCTATAGTAATACTGTACAACAAATAAAATTCTTAAAACTAAAACTTTTTTATAACATTAATCTTAACTTGCACTGTGTCAGAAGGTGGTGTGAGGGCATTGTGCTTTATAACAAATAGTTGCTTCATTAACCCCAAACCCACACCACCAGCAGCTGCAGACATTCCAGCATAAAGTTTGTCTAACACCTTTATTTTCTCACTGAGCCACATCACTGATTTTGCATGCTTGTTCTTATAGCCCAAAAGATATGCACTATACTTTGGGGGCATAATTGCTACTTAAAGCTTGAATTTTAAAGGCAAACAATGAAAATATGAAATTATTGTACATGGAACTCTTTGCAATGGTAGGACGAACAAGACCAGAGAAGTGCCTAGTAGGATACCAGCCACTGCACAAACTTGTGCATGTTACACCAATGTAAAACTGAAAATGAGGTTACTAATAAAATCGCACAAGTGCTTGAAGTCACAAAAGTTAAATGTATGAGTGTTGAAGATTGACTTTTTCAGTTTTATGACTTTTCCACCTTCATTTCAGTCTCTGATGAGGTATATGATCTTAGCATCATAGATTTAGAGTTGGAAGGGACCTTACAGGTCACTTACCAGCATCATCAACCCCAGGCAGCATTCATATCATCATGCAAATTCCACCTCCCCTTCGTAATGAAGCTTCTGTGACTTCTTTCTAGGTTCTCTGGGTACTGCAGGTCGTGTGTGCAACCTGACTTCCCGTGGCATGGACAGCTGTGAAGTCATGTGCTGCGGAAGGGGCTATGACACATCCCGGGTCACTCGAATGACCAAATGCGAGTGTAAGTTCCATTGGTGCTGTGCTGTGCGCTGTCAGGACTGTTTGGAGGTGGTGGATGTGCACACGTGCAAAGCCCCCAAGAGTCCCGACTGGGTGGCACCCACATGACCCACGCATCAACCAGCTGCCTTTTCTCCCCTGGGACTCAATCTGATCTGCAGAGACACTGGACTTTGGGGTTCCCCTGTAGTGGGGCATGTTTCTAAAGTGTACGGCAGGCACTTTGACTCACCAGAAGCCACCTCTCCCTTCCTGGATGCCTCCAGGACTGTGTAGTGCATATAAGTTATATCCTATTCTATTTACATTACTGGGTTGTAACACTTCCCTGTAACATAGCTATGGAATATCGTGAGATCTTTTGTACTCTTGGGAGGGGTTTTTTTGTGGGGAGGTGGGGAAGAAGAGATAGAGCTTGTCTTTGCACTACCCAAACTTCCCCCAAGAAGTTGACCAGGGAAGAAAGGTGTTCAAATGATGTTTCTCTGTCTTTCAACCGAATGCTCACAGCAAAGTGATCTCATGAGAATTTCACACAACTTCCACTAAATTATCTCATAGTTCCTAGAAGGATCGATCATAACAAGCTTTTTTACTTTGTTGTCTTTGGTCTGATCAAGAGATTTTAAGAGATGCCAGCATCATCTGGTAATTGGTAACTAAAGTGGTTTAAATACATGACAAATTTGAAATATGTGTTTTCCCAAGGCCATTTGAATTCAGCATTAATACCCAGTGTAATAAAATGGGAGAAAGCTCATGCCGAGTGATATTTTAATTCCCTACTATAGCATACCTTAGGTGAGAAAATGAACATTTTTATATTCAATGGAAAGATGCTGAAATTCCTGGGACATGAAAAATTCATTTGGAGAGGGACTTCCTTCTTTCCCAATAAACATATACATAAGACCTGAAAACAATTAAGAGCAATGTTTTCTGCTTCTCAGGTAAGGTAATTACAGAAGACAAGGATTTCATGATTGAGCACCTGATGATGCTTCTGTACAGATGAGCCAGAAAAATGGGAATCACATTCCTATTTGGTGTTTGCCATATGAATCATGGAGTCTTATAACTGGAACAATTTGATAATGATCGCTCTTGGGATGACAGGGCCAGGAATGAAAATGCTGATGACAAGGTTTCCATAACTAACCCAATAACTGCGGAAGCCTTGAGTATAAACAGATTGCAAAAGGGTGGCCCAAATGGTGTAAGGAGTGCCTCTGAGGACCAACAGTACTAAAAGTACAGTTTTAACACCCATTGCATTTAATTTTAATCATGCTTTTTTGACGATTGGGAGATGATTTGGTCCTGACCTAAGGCAAATGACACATAGCCTTGCTTATAAACTCCATAACCATAATGTATTATATTGCAAAAATATGAGCTTCGAGAACTACATTAAAGTGGCTCAGCTGTAATTATGTGAATATTAGTATGCAAATTGTGGTCTCCTGCTTTGAGTTAAAAAATGGCATTTGCAGAAGATGACAAACTGACTGTTAAGCTAAATGAATGAGAAGTGAAACGAGTGAAAATATTCATTGCTACCTCTGCCTATTAGATTCTTGTTCTAAGCATAATCTCCAGTACAGGAAATTAATTCTGGCAGTACACTATCAATGTGTGCACTGCAATAATTTTAAGAAATTATTGATTTAATCAGAATAAGTATTTCCTCCAGTTATTTCTTAAGGTGGTCTCTTCTAAGTCTTCCTCCTTCTTGACCTCTCTAATCCAATAAACATTTGTTAAGCACCTACTACGTGCCAAGCACTATACTAAGCACTGGGGTTACAATTAATGAAAAGAAAGACATCCTTGTCATCAAGGAGCTCACAGTCTAAAAGGAGAAGACAACACTCAAAAGGAGGCAGGGAAGGTTGGAGGCTGAGACACCAGAAGTATCTGGCATGGGGCCATCCTCCTCCATGGAACTGAAACCAGGTAGGGCAGTGGATGCAAAGTGGAGTGCTCTGTAGCATCTGACCTTGTAACCATTCTCTTCTCCTGGATGCTCTTTCTTCTTTGAGTTTTCGTGACCCAGCTCTCTGCTGGTTCTCCACCTGTATCTGTCTGACTGCTTCTTCTCAGTCTCCCTTGTCACATGATGATCCATATCCCACCCCCTAAGTGTGGACGGACTCAAATGCTCTATCCTGTGGCTCTCTTCTCTTCTCTCTCTACACTCTCTCTTTGTGAATTCATTGGCTCCCATGAGTTCAGCCATCAACTCTGTGCAGATGATTCTTCTCTTTATGTTGTTAGTCCTACTCTGTCTCCTGAGCACCATTATCTCATCACCGACTGCCTGCATTTCAAACTGGCTATCCTGTAGGCATTAAACTCAACATATCTAAAGTAGAACCCATTATCTTTTCCCCAAAACCCATCCCTCTTTCTAAAGTCCCTATTTCTGTTAAGAGCGCCAAAGCATCCCTCTAAGTCACTCATGTCCACAGTCTGGTATCATCCTTGATTCTTTCTTCTCCTTCATCCCCTATGTCCAATCAGTCACCAAGCCTTGTTGATATATCTTCCACAATATTTCTTATGCTAATTTCCTTTCTCTCTACTCACATGGCCACCACCCTGGTTCAGACCCTCATCACTTCTCATCTGAACTATTACAATAGCCAAACTGGCCTTGCTGCCTCCAGTTTCCCACCTCTCTGATCCATCTGCCACACAGCTGTCAAATTGTTCTACCTAAAGCACAGAACTCCCATGAGCAAGAAAAGGCAGTGGTTCCCTTATGCAAACTCCTTTATGTGGCATATAAAGCACTTCACAATATGGCTACCTTTCTAGACTTGCTGCACATTACTATACTTCACATAGTTGATGTTCCACTCAAACTGTCCTCCTTAGTCATCCCCACATAGGTCATTCCATCTCCCATCTCCATGCATTTGCACAGACTGTCCCCCATTGCTGGAATGAACTTTCTCCTCACTTCTCCCTTCAAGGCTCAGCTCAAGTACAACCTTCCTTCATGAGTTCTGTCCTGTGCCCCACATTTGCTAGTGTCCTTTCTCCCAAGAAATTATTCATATTTTGTTTGCATGTGTTTTATATTTTCTTACCTATATCCATGTTGTTGTTTTTTTTCCCTCAATAGAAGGTTAGCTCCTTGAGGGCAGGGACCATTTTTGTCTTTGCATCCCCAGCATCTAGCACAGTGCCTGACACATAATCAGTTCTCAATAAATGCTTATTGAATGAATGAATTGGTGAAGGTAGCAATTCCTCCATGCCCTACTGGATGGTCTTTGTAAGCTTCTGTAGACAAAAATAATTAATTGTTTGGTAGCTAACCTTCCAAGGATAAGCCTAGCCAAATTTAATTAGGCTAGAGCTAGACTTTTAATGACAGCCTTATTATATCCATACACAAACCTTTCAAGCTTGTAGGACCTTGCAAAGCTTGTCCATCATTGACACAGTCTTAGGTAATTCAGGTTCACCTCTGTGTCATGATAAAGTATTAGGATGGGGCAAAGAGGAGCTATAAAGGCATTTCTTTCTCATTACCCTGCTGCCAATCACTGACACTTTCTTCTTCCTTATTCTTTAATACTTTGGTACTTGGCCTCTCCCTTTCCCTACTTTACAGCAGTTTTAGGGGATCACCGACAATAACAATTCCAGGAGCTCTCATCCATGAGGACCTTCCCATTGCTGTGTTTAGTTGGCACTTTCTGACATTCTCAAAAATGGCAGGATTGAGCTCCAGCTGTGGTGGTATACACTTGTCACCTCTGCTGCCAAGGAAACAAGCTGTCAGATCTCTTGAGCTACAGGAGTTTTGAGCTGCAGTGGGTTAAGCTGATTGAGTTTGGCATTAATGTGGTGTGAACAGGGGAGCACCAGGTTGCCTAAGGAAGAGTGAAATGGTCCAGGTCCAAAATGGAAGAAGTCAAAGCTTCTATCTCGGTCAGAGTAGGATCAGACCTGTGAGTCTGAGGTGAGGTCTTACACTTCCAAACTTGGTGAGAGAGAGGAAGAAAAGGATAAAGGAGGAGAAGAAGGAGGAAGAAGGAAAACAATGTTGGCATCAGGATTAAAGCAAATCTAGGTTGGCTACTTCAGAAAAATATTAGTTATAGCGTGCAGTAAGCAGAAAGTGGGCAGATTGCCTTGAGATAGGCTCCCTGAACTAAACATGGGCGTTCCATGGATGACACACATAGGCCAAGGGGAGTGTGACTGGGCCAATAGACAGCAATGGCACTTAGCTCCTGTGGATTTCTATAGGGTTTGGCAGATAGGTGAGCCATTGATAATGCATTAACATACTAACAGCTGATCTTCAGAATCAAGGATTTCACTGAATTGAAAGTTCATTGGATTCTAGAACTTCATAGCTGAAACAGACCTTATTTAGTCCAAATCTGTTATTTTCCTTAAAAACAACAGCAGCATCAGCAACAACAACAACCCTTGAAGGTCCTGAAGGACTATGATCTATCTCTCTAAGACTTAGTTCTTTCCCCAGTAAAATTTCCCAATCACCTTATTTCATTCTAAGGAGTCATGAATTCTAAGAATGACTCATTGTTCAAAATAATCACCTTAATATCTTGCCCTTTTTAGAAAATGCCTTTGTTTAAGAAATGGCCTTATTAGAGGCTACATAATTTTAGAGTCTGGTAAAAATCTATTGTAATTATTGTTTTCAGTTTTACAAATCTTCATCCCAAAGGATTCCATAGAAATCCCTTAGCTTCTTAAGGGGTGACTTTTGTTTCCACAAAATTTTTTATTCCTGGGGAAAGTGCCCAGCTCTTCTGGTCCATAAAAATCGTCTGTAATATTGGTAGATAAGTAAGAATATCCATGACCTAAATAACAGGGAGACTTAGAGAAAGAATAAAATTTGCTAAAATTAAAAAAACTTTAAGACAACAGCCATCTCTTAAAGCTGTCTCCAGTATCTCATTTGAGTTATAGATACCCAAAATGATATCAATCAATCAAAAACATTTTTTAAAGTGCCTGCTATGTGCCAGGCAATATACTGGAAGGAATCTCAATGTCCATCTAACCCAACCCCTACAACATCCAGCCCTCCATGAAGACTGCCAATAAAAGAGAATGTAAGACCTCCACAAGGTAACCTACTCCACTTCTGGAAAGCTCTAATTGTTAGTGCAATCTTCCTAATAAACCCTAAATTTAACTCTTTGCATCTTCCTACCCATTACTCCTGCATCTGCCCTTGGGCAGAACCTCTCGTCCACAGGACCTCCCTTCAAATGCTTTAACACAGGTCTCTCTTCCCAAATGATCTTTTCTTCAGGTTAAACATGCACAGTTCCTTTTATCTCATTCTCATATATCATGTACTCAGGGTCCTTCCTCATCCTGACTGCTCCCCTCTGGACATACTCCCCCCTGACCAATATCCTTCTTAAATGATGGTACCCAGAACTGAACACAGAACTTCAGGTGTGGTCTGACGAGGTAGGAATTTACAGGGCCTCTCACGTTTTCTCACTATTGAATGCCGCTCTGAATGCAGCCCAAGATCACAGTAAGCCTTTTTGGTTGCAATATCATGCTGCCCATTAAGGCTTCTTGATATTCTTTACTCAATGTGATGTCCTAACAGGCCTCCCCTATTCTGTACTTGTGAAGTTGCTTTTTGAGCCCATGTATGATTTTGCTTTAACTGGGTGAAGATATTTTTGGATCCTGGCTCTCTCATTCAATACCTTCTAAGTTATATTCATCTCGTCAGCCCCAAGCAACCATTCTATCCATTTTTGGTCCTCTTTTTTCTCTTTATGTAGCTTTTAAAAAAACATTATTGTCCATGGCTTCTCTTGCCAGCCTCAGTTCATTCTGAGATTTAGCACTTTTGGTACTATTTTTATAAGACCACACCATGCTTTATTACTGGTCTTCGCTTCTGTCTTCCATGCCTATCCTTTTAAAATCTAAATTGGTTGGTGAGTTCCCTGTTTTCCATCCTCATTAGAATTGTTTCCCTCTATGTTTTCAGAACTTCATTTCTGAGGGTTTCCCATCCTTCATAATGACTTCCTATGGATCTATACTTCCCTGGAACCCTTTGAAATCTGCTTTCCCAAACTCTTGGGTACATCAGGCTATGCTTCTATATCCTGTATCACATACTCTTGGAGGGAGAGGTCATTTTGCCCCAAGTTTCCCATGATTTCCACCCCTATAACCAGTTCCTCTCTATTAATGAAAGTAAAATTGAATATAGAATTTCCTGTTGTTGGTTCCTTCGCCATTTGAAGGATAAAATCATTATTAAGACAAATCAAGAAGTCATTTATTACTTTGCTATTGGCAGAAAAAGAATCCTAGCAGATGTCTGGATAAATGAATGACCCCAAAACTTCTACATCATCCATTTGTTCCAGGTTTGTGTTCTATTTCCCAAACTCCTCATCAATTTCTCTTGT